AAAGCCTAATAAAGAAATAAATAAGATGTTTGATCAGTTCACTTCCATCATCAATGAGCTTAAAGGTTTTGGGAAGGTTTATCCTAATGAAGAAGTAATGAGAAAGGCGTTCTCTTCATTGCCAATGACTTGGGAAGGGAAATCTATAGTCATTTAAGAAGCCAAGGATTTGGAGTTGCTCGCTCTTGATGAGCTTATTGGTTTTCTACTCACCCAAGAGATGAGACTCCAAAGGAAAAAAGAAGAAGAAGAAGAAGGTAGGAATCACCTTCAAGTCTATAAATGAGAGTAGTAAAGACTAGAGTGAAGATGTATATGGAGATGAAGAGATGGCCAAGCTCTTCAAAAGATTCACAAGATTTATGTATTCTAAAAAAAGAAGTGAAACATGAATCAAGCAAGAAGAAGACCCCCCCACGATTTTTTTTAGTGCCAAAGAATATGATATGTCAAATATGATTGTCCCCTCCTAAAAAATAAGGGATCAAATAAAACTAAAATACATTTTTGGCTGCTTTGAGTGATGAAGACAACTCCAATGATATAGACGAAGTAGCCAACCTATGTCTCATTGTCATCGAAGAAGATTCAAGGGTAACTTCTAACTCTTATGATTTAAATTCTTATTCATTTAAAGAGTTACAAGATGCCTATGAAGAATTGTATTTGGAATTTGATACCATGAATTCCAAATATAAGAAATTTATTTTTAAATTTAAAAATCAAAATGATTTGGTTTTAAAAGAAAAATTGGATTCTAAAAAATAAAATGAAATTTTGAAAAATGATTTTGAGCTTTCAAAAATCAAAATCGAAGGTTTAGAAAAAGAAATTTTTGATTTGAAAGCAATTTAAAAACAATTCATCTATTTTAAAAATCACAAAAATGCTAACCCTATCATTTTCATGGTCATAGTCTTCATGTCCTATAAAGAAAAGAAAACAATTTAAAATTGGACAAGTATGAGTTCCCTTGGGAACTAGAGACCCAAAGAAATTTGGATACTAAAATCCAAATGAATATCTCTTGTAGGTGTGTTGGAGAAATGGTGATAAAGGTAAATATTTTCAAATGCTCTACTTACACAAGAAAAATGATGGATAACCTCTAACCTTAAAGCTTTTTGATTTTGTATATTGGTTGCATATTTTTGTTTTATGGATGCATGAATATTGAGCATGAATGATTACATGTTATTTTTTCTCATGTATGTTAAAAATGTGTTATGATTAACATATTTTAAAGTTAGTTGTTTTTTAATTTTTTAGTTCTTTATAATGATTTTTGGTTAAGTTGTATTTATTTTGACCTTAATATTTGAATGTTTATGCATGCTTTTTTTCACTTAAATGATATCTCTCTAACAGTTGATATCAATTTTTAAATGCATAACATTTTAAAATGCTTTGTGCATGTGAGTATTAATGACTTATTTCTAGTTATTGCATAAAGCATGATAGACTTGGATTTATTGAATTTCATGTGTTACTAACATGATTGTTCATCTTTGTTGAAATTCAATATTCTTTAAGTATTAAATTTTTTGCGCCAATTTTTATTTGAAATGCTTGTGTTGAAGGGGTGCTTTAAAATTTTTCAAATGTTTTTATGTTGAAATTTCTACTTACTCTCCATTGTTATTTTGAATTAAAATTTTAAATTATTTTTTATATAACAAAAATGGTGAGAAGTATAGGTTTGAAAATTCAATTTCAAAGATAAAAAAGGGGGAGTTTAAATATTTTCCAAAATATTTCTCTTTTGCATGAAATGTTTTATTAGGGAGAATTTTATAAAAAAACAATTTTTCAAATTTTTACATAAAAAGGGGATATTGTTGAACTTGTTTTGATATAAGGCAAAATGTTTTTGGACTTAATTAAATTTGTTCAAAGTTTTCAAAAATAATTTAAAGTTCATAAAACTTGAATTTGAACACAAAACTGTTTTTGGGTAAGTAGTACTGATATTGTTCTTACAGTATCAATATTGCATGAACAGTACCAATGCCAAAGGTAAGAGAAGTATCGATACTCCCTTGTAGTATCGATACTATATATCGTTTTCTAAATTGTTCAGATTCTAATATGAAAAATTGGTACCAATGCTTAAAGAGTACAAATACTACTTTACACAGTAGTATCGATACCATGAAATCCTAGTATTGATGCTAGTCAAGCCAAACGGTCTTTAACGACTAGTCTATTTAAATATTACAAAGGCAGTACCAATACTCTTAGCTGAATACAGATACTCCCTGTTTTGGGCAGTTTTGTTTTGTAGAAAATACATTGCCAACGACTAGAATCGGCTACAAACTCATCTCAACATATAAAAACAAGTCTACGACACTTGAAGGTTACAACACATATCCAAACAATTATGAACAATAGAAAAACTTTTTATTCTTTATTTTTTATTTTCTCTTGTACATAGAGTATTTTTTTAGCTTACTTTTGTAAAAATCTACCTTTGTGAGGTATTATTGTTTACTTATTTATCATTTCGTAAAAGGGGAGTGGTTCATTGACAACTAGAGAATTTTGTAAAATTTACTCTTGAGCTTAGAAAAAGAAAAAAAAAACCAAATTAGTGAATTTGTTATAAAATTTTTAGTGTGAAGTTAAGGTTGTGAATGCAGACTTGGTTTAGAAGACGAATCACTATAAGTAGTGTCTTCTTTTTTCTATCCTCTTGAATTCCTAAATTTTCAAAAAATCAATTCACCTCCTTTTAGCTAAATTTTCGATTGTTCATAGAGCCTAAAATTCTCAATATATAGGAAATTTTGAAACTCCTTAAACGGAAGTATAAAAATTTGGCCATTGAAAATCAAAGTTTTAAAACTTGAAATAGGATTTTTGAAAATTTAATCAATGTTTCGAAACTTTTCAGAGAAATTTAAAACTGCTTAACTTGCCGTTCTTGAAAAGTTTCAAAACTTCTGCCTTATTTTTTAATTTAATTTTTGTCTAAATTTCGAATCTCTAGACCCAAACTTGATAAAAATGAGATTTTTTATACTTAGAAAAAATTACTTAGAAAAAAATGGTTTAGGAGTTTTGGACAAATTTTCAAAATACCAGTCTCTTCCTTTTCGATATAACATTCTTTTTTTTTTTTTTGTAAAATTTCATCTTAGTAGAAATGTCATATAATCTTCTCAAAAATAGTTTGTAATTAATCAAATTTAGACTCTTTTTTTTGTCTCCCCTGATGTAAAAATAGGCTAAAATTCAAAATTTACATACTATCATTTTTTTACAATAAATTTGTTTTTCTCATATTTGTTAGAACAAGAGCATTTATAATACTATGAGAGAAAATAGCATCAGAGTATTTTGAGAATAAATGAGAAGTCAAAATGAAAACACAAAACATACAATGGTAATTATCGTGCCAATCAAAATATCCAACATAAGAATTATATAAAAGGATAAATGAAGTACTTACAAAAATCAAACAAAATACTTAAACCAAGAAAATGAAAAAGTATGCCATGTTGTAATTCATAACGCATAAAAATTCTGGGGAATTGATTAATCGGAAGAAGTATCTGATTGTTGACATCAATACTTATCAAAATTAGTTTGCAAGACATTAAGGTGAGAGACGGCCTCATCAAAACGACCATTCACGTGATGGCAAAAGTTAACCAAGCGATAGTCGACATTGTGACGAAGCTCAACCATGTTAGGGTTGTGTAAAAATATCCGACGATCCGATCTGTTGTTCCGGTGATCCGATTCATTTTTTGATTTTCGGATAATTCGGATCGGATATGAATGAGATAAATTTCAATTTCGAATTATCCAAAATATATTGGGCTTTTAGATTTTAGATACATTTTAGTCCAAAAAATAAGTAACTCACTAACCCATTAAAGCTATAACCAAATAAAAGTTAGGATATTTAATTATTTATTGTGTGTGAGTAATTAAATATATATAAAAATATATAGTAAAAGTATCGAATAAGTTACATTAAATCACATAATTTAAAATTTAAAATTAATTTTTGTCAAATTAAAATTTTAATTTGGATTCAGATATCCGAAAATTTGGATATTCATTTTATTGGATCGAATACGGATCACTATTTTAGGTATCCAAAATTTCAGATCGGATCTAATATCTAAATTTACACACCCCTAAACCATGTAATCATAGAGAGAATACACGATGATAAACGACTTCAGAATTCGTGTTAATATAAAGCTTATTAGAGTTTAATTCAAATTCTATTTTGATACAACTATATTTCTGAGTACTAATGTTTTATTAAAAGATGAAAAACTATTGAAATGATTTTTAATTATATAATTTTTCTTTAATCAAGAAATTATCTCTGTCAAAAGATAATAGAAATTATAGTTAGAAGGTAAGTCATTTAAGTCATGAAATTCGTACATAGTCACAATTTTTTTGTATTCATATTATTATTGACATTAATGAATTTCTCCTTTCTGTCCGAGATTTTTTTTTTCATTTACGAGTTTTTACATAAAATTTTAATGTTTCTTTTATTGTACATTTGCTTTAAGAGTTATTGTATCTATTTATTTATTCATCAAATAAAACTAATCATCAAATGATATACTACAATAAGTTTATACTTTTCAAAACTAAATGACAATTAAAATCAAGGTAAATATCACAATTTTCTTTTATTTCTTCACCGTAAAACAACTCGTTTGATCTTTGGTTTGAAAAGTATCTTCAATGTTTTTTTGCAGCTGTCACAATAACATGCTTTGAAGTGAAGATGTTGCAGAGATGTGAAGTTTTTACTCCTTATGGCTAGCTTTCATCCAAATGTGTCCAAAAGCAGCTTCTTCTTTTTTAAATATATTTTCCTTCTTACATGAGCCTCAATAATACAAAGCCCTTTGATCAGTTTTGTTAACCAAAATAAGCACAAAAAAGAGTAACACAGCTGTTTAAGAAATACTCCAAATGGCAAACCATTTTTGTTCCGGATGCATTCATCGTTTACTGAATTCTTCCTTCACATTTCCCCCCTCTCTCCACATGCATACCTAAACATCAATTCATCGACTAATTAAATGTTCTTTCTAATTGTTATGTCTCTTCCATATCTCTTCTAGGAGTAGCATTTCCTTTATCACTCTTCTACTTATTGAGTGTTGAGACCTCCAGAGTATCTGATATTTTAACGAGTTCTTTAAAGCCTTCCCTGGATGATAGATAATCTCTTGGCCTGATCTTGACAGGCCATGTGATCTATCATGACTAAATTCATTATCAGACGATTATATTTATTTAATTAACCAACCTACGAGTACTAATGTGTCAAGAAACTTAATTTAAGTCAATAAGTTCTTGTAGGTTCATCTGTACATGCATGCCTCAACTATGTCTATCATTAGTGACGGGCGTCTCCTAAAAATTTCAAATGAACATGTATTCTAGATTTTTTTTCTTGTTATTTTCTATTAAAACCCTATTTTCACTAGTAGAATATTATAAATTTGTTTCCTCATAAAAGTTTAGTTCGCCCCTAACATAATTTTCTGGGCCTCTCCCGGTCTACCATTTCTTTTGATCTAGCAACGCTTGGCGTTGGACTAAAAAGAAGAAGAAGAAAAAAAGAACTTGTAAAGATTAAGATAATCAACTAAAGAGAAATTTACCATTGATGCTCTTAATTAAGGTTCACTGGCTCTGATTCTCTGAAAATCTGGCAAGACTTTCCATTACATCAAACTGAGCTCGGAGTGATATGATATAATCTAGGGTTTCCTCAATCAAAGTGACTCCATTCATAAACTCTCCCCCTGGGATTAAACTTTTCAAAATTCTTCTTCTTTTCCTAACCAACCCTTTGGTGATAGAGCTTGCTTGTGCTGTACGTTTTCTCCTTCTTCGAGCCCTTTTCAGGATCTTCTTGCTTCGGATGATCCTCTTGTTGCATGCAGCTGTTCTTATTGTAAAAACCTTCTGCACTATTTTCTTATTATTGGCTTCATTCACAGCTTTAGCAATGAGAACTCGACTCCAATATGCCGCGTCGTTCCTTAAAGAAGCCATGGCCACATCTGCGGACAACTTTATGGCCCTTTTTCTCTCCAAGATGCTCATATTCTTCTTACATCTTTGGAGTCCCATCATCCATTTCTTCAGAATTTTTTGCTTTAGTGGACCAGGAGAACGCATTCTGCACAAACCCTTTAAATGATAAACTATAATCCTAATTGTTATATACTGAAGTAAAAGGGAAATATATATATATATATATATATATATATGAAAAATAAATTGAGGTCCTCAGTAGAATTTTTTTCTACTTTAAGGTCTTTCATTCAAGCAATTGCACTGTAAAGTGTATGTACGTTGTTGTCAATAATTAAAAAATTATGAAAATATATTATCTTATAACCACACACAATTAAAAAAAGATAAAGCAGAACACTAGGGTTTCAAAGAGAAGTAAACTAAGTGCACGAGAAAGAGTACGTACCTTGAGAAAACTTGTTATTGTATGAATTTGAAAGAGAGAGAGTTGAGAATTTTGATGTGGAGAGAAGAATGGAAGTTGCAGAGGGGAGAAAGCAGTTCAACAGATCCAAAAAAGTGTATGAGAATCCAAGAAGGAGGTTGATGAGAGAGATAAGGGAATGAGAAAGATAAATGTGAAGGAACCCCCATTTATTTGCTCCCAAGTGAAAAAAAAAAAGCAGTGGTGGGACTGTTAAGAGGAAGACACAGCACATGCAAGAACATGGCATGCATGGCCCCACCGCACAAATCCTAGAGGATAACTTCAAATAAAAATTAGTTTTATCTTCTAATACACTGGTGAAGCGTACAACATATTAAATAAAAGAGGTTCAGTAATATAATGCAAACCTAATATTTGTCTGTAACTTTGCTTTAATACAAACAAAACTCTCTAAATGAACTCGTCATTTCATTAACATTTTTTATAGGAGAAATACCGTTACAATAATTTTTGAGGATTTAATTTTTGGTTTTAACGAAGAGTTGTAAACGGTTATTTAGAGAAGAGGAAAAGAAAAATAGACAAGTTAAAGAAGATTATCAACAATTGAGAGAGAGAGAAGTGTTCTCCCACCTTCTCCAGGCTTATATGGTGATTTATATATTTGTCTTTAATGATGGTGTCACACCTGGAGTGATGATGATTATTTGTTGGTTGATGGGATAAATAATTGATTGTCATATAGTAAATTTAGTTGATAGATAAAGTGTAGGGGCGTATATGAACAATAGGTTTGGTGAACTGTTCATTCGTTAAGCTAAATAAACGAGTATAAAAAATATGTTCATTTAATAAACAAACGAACATGAACAAAGGTTTGTTTGATCTGTTTATTTTCACGAACAAGCTCGTTTGTGAGTTCATTTATCGACTTGTTCGTTTATGTTCATGAATTAGGTCGTTTATAAGCTTGTTTACTTGTTCATTTTTTTTACATTTTAAATATTGGTAAATGTAGGGACTAAATTGAACACATGATGAAATTAGAGTTTAAACTATTAAGCTTAAGAAGTTTAAGTACTAGTGGTGTAATTTTACTATTTTTTAGCTTGCAAATAAACATGTTCGCGAACATATAAATGAACGAACACCTTCAAAATAAATAAATGATCACGAGCATGATATTAAAAATTTAAATGAACACCTTAAAATATAAATAAACGAACACCGACATGATATTAAAAATTTAAACGAGCACCTTCAAAAACAATAAACGAACACAATAGTAAGAATTTCAACAAACATGAACACATTTAAATATATTTATTAGTATTTATTAGTCTTTTGATAATAAATAGTATTTGAAATTTACTTTTATATTTAATCTCTTAAAATATATTTGATATATTAATAATTTAATTTCTCAAATATAAATCTTTTATTATAGGATATTTTTTTTTACAGAAAGCCGCTAGTTTTATTAAAAATAAAAAATATACAAAATTACAACGAAGATTTACAAGCATAACCATAAACTTAAACTAATTTATAATTAGGACATTTTCCTATAAGCATTGACACTAAAACTAGCCACCTAGATGACAAGAACAAAAAAAAAGATTAAAACATCTAATCAATGCTCGAACAAAATAAAGATACGAACAAATCTGACTGCATTGGCAAACGAATCACAAAAAGAGATGAAGTTACTGAAGACCACCGACAAATCACAAATCATAGTCAAGTGACGTGAGAAAACTATCCACGAACACAAAACACGTATCCAAATCAATCCGAGGGTCCAAAGCAGAGAAGATCAACATGATAACAAATAACTGTCATCTTGATCAGTCGTAGCGATGTCAAATCCAACCCTGATAAAAAAGATAAACGAAAAAAGGCAAAAAACCGTAAGCTACCAAAAGGCAAAAAAAATGTGTTACAAGGGTAGAGATAAACTTGTCATAAAGGCATAGAACATGTCACAAACACATAATTATTCTTATTAAAAAACTAAAAAAAAGACAATCGACGAACTGCAACCAGCATCAAAACCAGTGTCGTCTCCGATTAAACAAAATTAAAGAAGAAAAGTTGGATTGATCAATAAAATTGACACAAATTATAAAGAAAAGGGTAAACTACACGAGTGACCACCTAACTATGGTCAAAAATCAATTTGATCACCGAAGTTTTGATTGAATCAATCAGACCACCCATCTATTTAAATGTTTTAATCAAACCACCCGTTGTTAGTTTTTAACAGAGATGGTGATGTGTTCGTTAATAAAAATGGCATAATTATACATTTGGTTCTTAATATTTATAAATCCTATCAATTTGGATATAAATTATTTTAATTAAAATAAATTTAATCTTCAATTAAATGGAGACACATGTCATTACCTAGTTGGAGCATATTTCTTAATTTTTTTATTTATTGAATTTTATTTATTAATTATAATTTAATAGCTATATACAATATTAAATTATAATTAATAAATAAAAATTAAATATTATTTTTTATTAATAAAAGTTAAGAATTATTTCTTCCATTAATAAAAATTAAAAACAATAAAAAAAATTGTAAATTATATTCAAATATGTGATTGAACTTTAATTTAATCCTTTAGCCCATGTTGCATTTTTATTTTGTTTTTTTTTCTGTCAGTAAATGAAGTAAATATATAAAACATGTTGTGTTTTGGAAATAAAAGGGGGACTTGGTGCAATGGTTTATGCGTGACCTTGGCTAAACGGGTGACTTAAGTGTGATTCCTTCCAGGTGCATTTTCACTCATTATTTTCTTACTTTAATAAGGTTGAGACACGTGTCACCACCTTATTCATAGAAAAATATATTACATAAATACAAAATTAATAAAATATGCTGACATGTGTCATCATTTAATTGGAGATTAAATTTATTTTAATTAAAATAATTTATATCCAAATTGATAGGATTTATAAATATTAAGAACCAAATGTATAATTATGCTATTTTTATTAACAGACACGTCACCATCTCTGTTAAAAACTAACGACGGGTGGCTTGATTGAAACATTTAAATAGTCGGGTGGTCTGATTGATTCAATCGAAACTTCGGTGGTCAAATTGATATTTGACTATAGTTGGGTGGTTACTCGTGTAGTTTACCATAAAAAAAAGAGAGAAGAGGAGAAAGAAAGCGGATAGAATTATTTAAAAATAATTAAAGGATATATATCCGTTACATGATGTATAAATTTATACAGTAACATGTATTATCTCATAAAAATTTAAATTTAAATACAAATAATTAAAATTTTAACTTGAATAATTAATTATTGAAAATGCATTAGATGTATACATGTGATGGTGCAATAGTTGAGAAATAAATCCTTAATTAAATATGAAATGAAAACATGTGAGGGGGAGAAGGAGAAAAGGCGGGGTATAAATCCTTAATTGGCAGCATCTCGTGACGGCGAAAGAGGAGAAAATCCATGGCATTATGCAACACCAAATCAACTTCCTAAATTCCATCGGGATGGAATCAAAATTTTATATTAGGGAGGTGAATTTATAAAATTTTAGAAAAAAATAAATTTATAAAATTTTAGGGATGAAAACAGATTATCAAAATACACAGAAAAAATTTAAAATATAAAAAAATTTAGAATTTTAGGAGGTGACTGTTCTCACCCATCCTCACTCAATCTATCCCCTGATCGCAAACCGTAATCAAGGGATAACTCTTCATCAAAGATTCTATCAAGAAAGGCTTTATATCTAGTTACAAAAACATGTCGATCATTAATCAGATTAAAGTCAATAAAATCTTAGTATTTAAATTGAATAACTATTAATTATCTAGTCACTCATTAACAAAATTACAAACTAGTTAACCATGTACATAATAGCCCCGTAAGATGGTGCTTCATGAATATCTAGGAATTTATTCTTACAGATAAATTTGTGGAAGGTTGGGGCATAGGGAGACTTAATAAAAACAATAGCTACCTGATGAATAGATTAAACATGGTGTAGTTTCATTTCTATAGACAATTTAAATTTGAGTAATTTTGTCTATAAATATGTGTAAATTTATCCACATTTGAATTCAGACACAATTTATATTGTAATCATATTAGAAACTTAAAAAGAAAAAAAGAAACTCAATTAAACTTTTAAATAATATTATAGATGCAGACAAAGTAATATATTTATACTCAACAGGTGATGGTGGAATTAAATGTAGCAACCCTTAAAGGAAATTGGGCTCGTAGGTTTTGCGGCTAACTTGACTTGGGTCACTGAGTTTGCTAGGCTATTGCTGCATTTATTGGGTTCCATACAGCCTCCCTTTTTCTCTTCTAATTTTATTTTCTTTCTTAATAACATCACATACAGTCTAAACTCCAAACTCAAGCCTTCAGGGGAGAAAACCCTATTAACTCAAGAATATTGAATGGCGTGGTAAAAAGTGTAGTAAAAATTGATTTAAAGTTGAAGTAAGGATAAACTTATGATAGCAATAATAAAGTTGTAGTAGTAACGAAACAAAACATACCAGAATATATTAAAAGGTAAAATTATGATAAAACTTGTAATCGGATGAAATTGAATAAAAGGGAGAAGAATTTTGTTGAGGCATGTATAAACAGTTTCCTTAAGACAGACTCGTCCTCTCCTCGGTGCTTTGAGTAATGTTGCACGTCAGTCTCCCAGGATACAACAACAAACAATATGCACAACGGTTGTGAACAATCGAACACAATTTTTGTCTTTATCTATCACCGAAAAAAGAATTTGGAAGAATTTTGAGGATATAAAAGGAAAATACTTGAAAGAGAATGAATTAAACGAATTTAAATTTGTGTTGAAAATGTTCACAACTTAGCCTTTATACATGAGAGGAATTGGATTGAAAGGTTAAGACTTTTCAATGAAAGAACTTAACCTTTTTTTGCGAAACGGCTTAACATTTTTTCATGAAAAGACTTAACCTTTCTTATAAAAAGACTTAACTTTTTCATGAAGAGTATTGTTGAATAGGCATGATTAAATATCATCAATTCATTCATACTTTCCCAATAATCCATGTAATGTCCTAATCCAATACGACTTGAAGATCAACGGACCAAGGCGTCACATGAAACCACCAGAGTGGCTAACCCAAAAATTTTCTTTTAAAAACAATTAAGACATCCATTTAAAGTCAT